GACCCAAACGTTGTTGTTGACGAACACACGCGCGCCGATGGCGAGGAAGACATGCGATTGCAAGCCCCTGAACCTTTCGGAGGACACCGCGTTGTAGCCGTGGATGGTGTGAGTGGCGTTGATTCTCGCGATGGGGGTTCCTAGAGAGTTCAACCGCCGCCAGTTCCAGTNGCAAGCCCCTGAACCTTTCGGAGGACACCGCGTTGTAGCCGTGGATGGTGTGAGTGGCGTTGATTCTCGCGATGGGGGTTCCTAGAGAGTTCAACCGCCCCCAGTTCCAGTCGTCGGCGAGGGCGTTCGTTGGGAAGATGTGAACAGCGTCGTCGAAGGTTTCGCGTTCTGCAGCCCCCACCGCGGCGATGAACCTTCGCTTGAGTACGTCCCAGTCGTCTGCGGTCTGCATGCCCTCGGCGATACGCAGTAGTGTGTCGCGGAAGGCGGCCTGCTCCGGACCTTGCTGGCGCATGACCCGTGTGAGCTCGACGGCGTTGTTCATCGACAGCCACGCTTGCAGTCCTTGCATGCTGAGGCCGCCCGTGGAAGGATTGTGTTTCCACAACGGGCTAGCCCCGACCGGAGGAAGCTGTGCTGGGTCGCCGACGAGGATGATGCTCAGGCCTCCGAATACGTCTTGGCGGAAGTCCTCTATTCCATCTCCCCTCCGCCCCTCCACGGCCTGTTTTCCCCTCGCGCTTATGAGGCCGAGAATGTCCTGACCCACCATGGAGAACTCGTCGACGAGGATGAAATCGACCTCAGCCATGCGCTCCTGCAGGTCCCTGAGAGCTGCTTCGGTCATGCGGCTGGGGTCCGAAGACCGGTTGCTCTGGACGACGGGAATCCTGAAACCGCCGTGGATGGTCTGCATCAGCGCGAAGGGAAGGTTGTTGGAAATCGTCCAAGGGGAGGCAATGTGTTTTTACCGTCCCTACCATGGAAGGCTGACCTCATAGCACAATCTAACTAACAGAACATGCAAAAAATGAATGACAATATCTGCTCACCATTCCTCCGATGGCGCAAGCAGCGTTCCCCGTTGGAGCCATGAGGATGAACCGCTGCTGTCCCACCAACCTCACCATCTCCCGAATGACAACCGTCTTGCCGGTGCCCGCCGTCCCCGTGAGCAGCAAACGGAGAGGACTCGGAGGCGCCGGCAGGGGGGGGTGCGCGGCCCTGGCGCTGTTGTCTCTGCGGCTCACGCGGGCGGCTTCTCGGTAGGAGTCGAGGCTCGCCGCGTCATCTCTCACCAGTGCTACAGCGAGAGCCTGCTTCTCGTTGAGGACTGGTACCGGAAGCACAGCCGCTTCTGTGGAGGCGGGGCCGGCAGCCGCGGCACCAGCAGAGTCCTTCACCCAGGTAGTGGAGTCTTCCCGCACTCCTTGTGCCTGGGCCCAACCCTCCTGGCCCCAGTCGACGTTGCTGCCGTCGCGGCCGTCGCTCCACCGCCGATCAAGGTCATCGTCCCCAGCCCCCCCCTGCAATCCGTTCCCGCGCAGGCCGTCGAGGTTGGGGGGTTCATCGTCATTCTCCTTCCTTTCCCCGTCGCCTTCGTGGGGCTCACCTCCGCTACCCTCCCCGCTGTCGCGGCCTCGGCGTCGGCGGTTGGCCTGGAGGTCTCGCGCCGAGAAACCACGCGGTTGTTGTCCCAACGGCATCGCCTGAACTTCGGTGGCCCACGTCCTCCACGCGTCTATCATGTTTTGCCTGGCAGCAGCGTCCTGTGCGGTAGCCTCCTCTCCTTCCTCGCCGTCCCACCCGTTGTGCAGAGGGTCACGCCACGGGCGGTACTTCACGAGGTGGCTGCGGCAGTAGTCGGCGTACTTCGGGCTGGTAGGGCTGTGAGAGAAGATGGGAAGGAAGGAGACGACGCGGTTATTTCGGATGTGAGTCGTAATCTTCTTCTCCCGCGTTAGCTTGTACGTGGCGGCGAACGTGCAGTTGTTCATCTCCTCGAGGACCGCGTCCTGCTGGGGCCTTCCTCCATGGATGGGAACCCACGCATCTTGATCCATGCGACGGGAGTACGCAAGGAGCAGGTCCCGCACTGGTCGAAGTCCCCCGTCGGCCCCGGCGCTCTCAACTTCGACAGAAGTCTGCTCGGTATACACCCTCACGTACTCGACGTTGTGGAGGACGTTGTGGGTCTGTAGGTTGAGGTGCTGAACCTCCTGCACGCCCATGTCTCGCCTCGTCGTCGCCATGTTGAGGACCTTTCGCATGATCGAAGGCAACGTATGCCTGTCGTCGTCGTCGGCGGCGTCCAGGGTAGCGGCGTGGCGAACAAGGGTCGCGAGCGTTGTCTGTATGTACCTGCTCCGAGACTCTCCCTTGGTGGTATACTTGACCATGTACCTCCCGGCCATGCCCATGTCGACGATTGGGGAGAAGTCGACGTTCGAACCCCACCCCAGCAGCTGTGCCACGACGTGCCGGTTGACGCNATGGGAACCCACGCGTCTTGATCCATGCGACGGGAGTACGCAAGGAGCAGGTCCCGCACTGGCCGAAGTCCCCCGTCGGCCCCGGCGCTCTCAACTTCGACAGAAGTCTGCTCGGTATACGCCCTCACGTACAAGACGTTGTGGAGGACGTTATGGGTGTAGGTTGAGGTGCTGAACCTCCTGCACGCCCATGTCTCGCCTCGTCGTCGCCATGTTGAGGACCTTTCGCATGATCGAAGGCAACGTAAGCCTGTCGTCGTCGTCGGCGTCCAGGGTAGCGGCGTGGCGAACAAGGGTCGCGAGCGTTGTCTGTATGTACCTGCTCCGAGACTCTCCCTTGGTGGTATACTTGACCATGTATCTCCCGGCCATGCCCATGTCGACGATTGGGGAGGAGTCGACGTTCGAACCCCACCCTAGCAGCTGTCCACGACGTGCCGGTTGACGCAGGGGTCGAATACACCCTCCCCCTCCTCCCCGCCCCGGTGTTTACCATCGGGGTTGGGTTTTCGTCGCTTGGCAACGACGTTGTAAAACAAGCC